CCCGGGTCATAATTCACTCCAACATCAAAACAGCACAAATAAAATATTTTTGGGGCTGTGAATTTAATGTATCAATTTAGTAAAATTAATTATAAAATTATAATAATTTTATATTTTACAGAATAAATAAATAATCATAATCATAATTGCACAATTATATAAAAATTACCTAGTTAGAAGAAAGAGTATCTTTTAAAAGTTGAACTCTTATTATATATAATTTTTACTAATAATATTTAATTACTAATAATAATGTATAATAACTAATGAAAATAAATAATAATATAATTACTAATTATATTTGTAAATCAATTATTAGTCCTAGAAAATAATATTTTGCATTTAAAAAAAGTCCTGGAAAATTATATTTTGCATAAAGTAAATGAAGCATATTTTTAATACTGTTAATTGTTAACATTATTTTCATGACAATTAAAGGTAAAGCGAAAATGTTATTTTATTTTATTTTTTATCTTTTTTAAATGGCACTAATTTAAATTCAGTACAACATACTATCTTTATTGATTTGTATAATTTTTTTAGAAAAAAAAATTGCATAAAGAAAATTAAGCACTTTTTAAGGCTGCTTATTGTTTACATAATTTTCATGACAATTAAAGGTGAAGTGAAAACTAATGACTGGTTTCAAATAGGTTTCATTCATTCATTCACAACATACTGTCTTTATTTATTTAAATGGACTTAAATTAAATTCAGTACAAATAATACTTTTACTATATCGAATTTGCAAATATTAATAAATAAATAATATTATTAATTGTAGCAGTGATTATTTTTTAAATTACAGTATGCTACTGAGAAATGGGATTGAACATGTTTAATTACCATGAAAATAATATCATAGTACAGAAAATAATAATGGTCTTAAAACAGATTAAGTTTCCTCATGCACATATATTTGAGTTGATGGTGGGCTGAAGTGTGACCCGGACGTGTTCCTGACCGGTTTCATGACATTCGCTCGTGTGCCGTGTGCAGCGAGAGCCAGCGATTCATATCACGTCCCCTTTGCCACGTAAAGACTCGTCACACATACTAACACACAGCTTTTCTCTGCCATTTTGCTGTTGATTCAAGCGTGCGGCACCTTTATAGGGAGGCTTTGCTGTGGATCGGGGCTGAAGCTCCCACTGCGATCATGGCATTTCGATTGAATGGATTTAAAAGCACACACACAGAGTATAAATGCTGTGAGACTCTCGACTGTGTTGTGTCAGAGAGAGGATCTTTCTGATGGAAACCCAGCCGGAGGCTCTCAGATTCTTTATACTCTGTTAGTTTGAGTCTATGAATGAAACTCATTCACATTGTGTGTTGTTCTACTGTATACGCTGTTGACATTTACACTATTCACAATGGAGTACTAGCATGCTGCATACTGCGCACTATATACTGTATGCTGCATAATGTTGACATATATTGTGTATTTTGAAATTTGCACCTTATATAAAATAAAATAAGTTCATAATTATTGTGACAAGTTAATAAAGAAAAAATGATAGTTTTCATTTAGTTTACCTTGCCACATTAAAACAACTAAAACTAAAACTGAAATAAATCTTTAAAAAATATATAATTATACATAATAAAAATAAAAATAATAAAAAATGACAAAAATACAACAAAATTACTAACACTAACAAAAATGAAAATGAAAATGGAAGATAAAACTACAGCAAACTATTGTTAAAAACTGTAATGGTATCTTAACGATACCTTTATGATGCTGTACCTTTAATATATATATTGCAATGGAACTGCTGAATTCTTTCGGTTAAAACTCTAATTAAGTCATTACATGAAGCATGATACATTTTGGTAAGTTGTACTGTATCTTTCAAGAACTTCTGATGCTCATTTATGTTTATTTTGCGCTATAACTTGTAATAAAGTGGAAAAGACTCGCGCTCCACAATTTAGCGAGTGCCAAAACGGCATCTATTGTTTGAATTTTGTGATAAAATATGCAGAATTTGAAAGTTGAGACTTTGTTTTTATCAGAAGTAACAAACCACAAAGCTTGTTACGAGAGTCGCATTACAAATAATGTTTGGTGAAGAGAAAACAGTGGATCTGGCAGCCCTGGCTTGAACTACAGGTGATTCATAGGGTCAAGCTAAATGATTGCTTGATCAGTCCTAAATTCGTCAAAAGGAACATTTTATTCATGCAAGTTGCTGTCTGACACGTTTTTCGGCTCGCCTTTGATTAACAGGATACAATTGGCCCTGATGATTGCTTTTATCGACCGATACCTATTATTGGCATATCGCGGTGCTGTGGTATGTATATATTGCATACTGCAAAAGTAGTATGTGTAGTATAGTAGTAGTATGTTGTTCAGAACAGTAGTATGTTGTTGGGAACACATCCCTACACACACACACACACACACTGCTGTGCTGCATGTTGTTGGTGTTCTCAGTGGGTGTGATCTGGATTATAGTATCAGCAGGAATTAAAACCCCAGTGACAAAAGCTTGTTTCTTTATTGACTGTGTTCAAACTTGCACACTCGTGGCCTTACACACACACACACACACAGCGTGTGGGCGGCTTGTGTTAGACACGTCTAGTGTTAAGCTGATAAAGGGACGCTGTGGTTTGTGGCTGTGAATACACATATTGTTGCGACCATGTATTTGCATAAAAATGCATATAATTTAAATGATTATATAATGTGGTTATTTATGCAACCCACACACAACAATTCTGCGTTTGAATGTGGTTTACAGGCGTAAACTTATATAGCAGCATATATTCAATTTGTACAAAGGTTTTTCCCTGGAGCTGCTTATAAAGTTATTCAAAGTTTCTTGCACCAAAAGCAGATTTTAAGACCATTTTCCAGCCTCTCTGACCTTTAGAATTAAACAGGCTGGTTTTGCTGCTGTACCTTTAAGATGTCTGTACACATGATCTCTGTTGTGATTGGCTGAACTCTTCGCATGTGAAATGAGAAGATTTGCTTACTTCCAGTTTGTATGTTTTTAATGCTTTCAAAGCTGCAAACTGGAAGTAAGCGAAGCTTCTAATTTCTAAATTAATAAATGTAAATACATAACTTTACACCTGTAATATATTATAGGTATAAAGTTATGTATTTACATTTATTAATTTAGCTGACACTTTCTTCCAACACTGGATGTGTGAGGATAGATGGATGGATGGATAGAATATTAATATATTTATACATGATATATTATACAAAATGTATTACATTTATTGTGTATGTATGTATGTATGTATGTATGTGTGTGTGTGTGTGTACACAGCATAATATTATTTGTTGAAATATATAATAAAATATTAATATAAATAATATTTTACTTAAAATATAAAAAAATCTAATATATATGCATATATGTGTGTGTGTGTGTGTGTGTGTGTGTTATTATGCTGTATACACATGTATATGTATATATATATATATATATATATATACATGTACTGTATATGCATATACAGAATAATACAATATATTAAAATATGTTAATAAATTAATTAAAATAATAAATTAATAAAAACAATGAGATTAAAAATAATCAAATTAATCAATTATTTTAAAAATAGACTATGTATACTGTGTATTCAGTATTTTCATGAAATGTTAATGTTCGACTAATGATTTTTTGTGTGTACCTGAAAGCTCAATTACTCCAGATAGCCGTCTCTAGCATCAGTGTGATGAACTACCAGTGTGACTTAAGTAGAAACAACTACTAGTGACAAATAGCTGTCAGTGAGAGCTCTTGAGACGAGCCCCTGCGCCCCGGTCAAACTCCTGCAGAATAATGGAGCTGTGTGTGTGTTTGTGTGTGTGTGTGTATGTGTGTGTGTGTGTGTGTCGAGCTTCTAGCACTTCACTCGAGTAGATAATCTTCTGTAATTAGCTGTAGATAAAGAGAGAGCGCAGTGTGTGTTTAAAAGCAGGTGTATTAATGAGAGGAAACAAGTGGCTGAAGCGAAAGCAACAGGCTTCGTTTGGACGCAGCAGGATTTAGCAGGCTGACTTTGCAAAAAGACTTGTAGAACAGTTTCATGATTCACATGGCCTGCAGTCGCGCTCTGGCCCTCAATGGTAGAGTTAGCCTGACGACTTTCTCACTGTTTGCTAATGCAGGTGTTGTGAGGGGCTTCTAGAGCGCTTTCTTTCTGCTCCAAGTCTCAACATATGCCTCGCAGCCCTCATTCAATTTAGATTTCTCAGTTCATGACCTCTTTAATACGTCCTGTAAGGGGTTTGTTAGCATCGCTAATGCTATATGAGCAATACTAGTGAAGCTGTTTTAACTTATGCTTCTCGACTTTTTCACTGAGATTTGACTGTATTTTATTTACATTTTTTTTGTCTCTTCGACTAGCTCACTCTGGGATCTATGCAGTGCATTTATTAATGTGTATGTGTCAATTAAAGGGTATGTTCACCCAAAAATGTAAATTTTATTTGGAGTTAAATTTATATAAATTAATAAATTATATAACATGATGATATTAGAATATATATCATGTTTATGTAAATGTGTGTGTATATATATATATATCACATTAAATAGTTTTTAATATAATAATTTTATATTGTTTGATATATTAAATATATTTACAAAAACAAGTCAATAAATAAGCTTGCATTTTAAGATAGCAGTTTTTTGTATGTTTGCCATGCATCTCTAATTTTAAGTAAATTTTTGTAACATTTATGGTTTAATGTAGTTAAATATTACATTGTTTTTCATATATTTACTATGTTTAACAATATTATAATTTAATATGATGTCATTTAGTAAATATATTAAAAACACAAGTCAATAAATAAGTTTGCATGACATGAGCAGTTACATAATTTTTTGTATATGTTTGTCATGCATCTCTAATTTTAAGATTTTTTTTTTAATGTGGGTTCAAATTAAATCATTTTTAATATAATTACTATGTTTAGCAATGTTATAATTTAATATGATTTAATATGGTTTTAATTATGAGATACACAGTTATACAATTTTTCTTTTTTATATATTTTTGCCATGCAAGGTGTTCATTTACTGAATTTTCTCTTTTTAAAGAAAAATAAAACAAAAATATTTTTAAGCAATTTTTAAGCAAAACAGTGCATTTACAAAGGAGTAAAATGTAAAGTACAAAAAAATGTGTGTGTGTGTGTGTGTGTGTTTATAGTGTGTGTGTGTGTGTGTGTTCAGCGTGGAGGGCTGCTGTCCAAGAAATTACGACACGCTTTGAATGAAGTGAATGAGCTAACAGCAGTGTGTGTGTGTTGTACTGGACAGGCTTTGACTTTTGTCTCGAAAGGCCCGTTGCATCTCACACACGCATGAAGTAATGAGTTATTGTGGTCGCTCTCATGCCGCTGTGCATTGTGGGTTGGTTATATAATCATCTCTAGTACATTATGTGGATGTGCGATCAGCATGATTTTGTGTTGTGTGTTTCTAATGGGAATCTGTATAGAGGGGAGGGCTATTTCTCTCCAGCTTGGACGCGTCGAGGTGCGTGCGTTGCTTCCCGGGCCAGGTAAATGCAGGATAGTATAACAGGTCACGGTGAACCCCAAAGCGGCCCGCCTCCAGCCCGCCTCTGAATGTGTGTGTGTGTGTGTGTGTGTGTGTGTCAGCGAGGCGCTCACCTGTACCTGTCATATATCCTTCTCCTCGTCTGCTGTATGCACTATGATCTCCTGTTTGCTGCCCCTCCATCCCTCACACACACACACACTCTCACCTCCCCTCGGTTGCCATGCCAACAGCCCACTTTCGAGGCAAGAGCGCTTGGAAGAGCACATTCCAGATGTCGGGGGGAATTCGGGCTCTGTGCGCCCCCTACTGGCCACTCCACACACCTGCAGGCTGCCGTTACATGCATTAATAATCATATATGCATTCATCATGAATATATAACATCTACTCCGTGGCGGGAGATGTTTGTACACCTCAGCTCAAGAGAAATCTTCTGTTTCTCTCTGTCTTGTTTCTCCTCGTGCTGTCCTGCATGCTGGTTTGTATTCAAATACAGCCATTTGACACTTAAAGTCGCACGTTATGGACTGAAAATACTGGTGCGCAGATGTGAATGGCTAGTGCAGTGCAACCTATTTTTCTTCTGTAATGTGATGCATTTTCAAGTGAATCAGCATATATAATTAAACAAAAAAGAAAAAAGAAAGAAAAAGAAAAATTAAGGGAAGCTGTACAACTAGTTTATTTTTTGTATTTTTTTTTTCTCTAATTATTATATTAAAGTAAATATTATATTAAACATATTAGTCGTTGTAAAACAGCAGAACACATATGATAGCACATTACTTACATTTGATATTAATGAGCCTTTAATGTCTATAATCTAATGGACTATATTAAAATAGAATAGTGTCATTTAAAAAACTAAATAAATGTAGGTATTGAACACTTTTGACTTATATCATGTTGATATTTTTGCCGTTTTATAAAAGCATTAAGCCAATATGATTATTTTAGTTGCTAAAATTAAATATGTAATTAAAAAAATGCTTTAATTTGTAATTTTATTTAAAATAACTGAACACTAATTAATATTTATACAAATTGAAAGATGAATTAAATAAAATATTTATTTTATATAATACACTTTTAGTGAGCCAAACTTTGGAATAGCCTGCAGGTGAGTCACACGTCTACAGTGAATGAATTATTCAGGCCTCAGGGAAGCGTCGACATGTCCTTTATCTGCCCTCGATCGATAGCCAAGGACATGAAGGCAGAGACAGACGGAGAGATACAGAACTTCTTTTTTCTCTGTCCTCATTTGAACGAGCCGTTTTAGGTAGGCGTGGTTAACTCTTAACTTTTATAAAGAATATCTCTTTGGATTTGAGACTTTAGTCTTTGCAACTTTACAGATCTTCTTTATGCACCAAGAGCTTGTAACACTCCAAAGAGAAAGGAAAAAATGAAATCGCATCATATGACCCCTTTAAATAAATCTTACCGACTCCAAACTTTTGAATGTTAGTGTCAGACTGATGTTCTTAAAAATAACCATTTTTAACTTGACACTTGTCATGTGTTGCCAAAAAAAATAGATCTCGAGAGTTAAAAAGCTGTCTGTAGTCAAGAATCAAGATTCATTTAGGCCACTTGTCATGCGTAAATCTACAATGCAGTGATAAATAATGACAGTATTAATATTTCGTCCAATACGGATTCTGATACTGAGTCTTCAAGCGGTCAACTGTTGCTTTGGTTTCTTGGGAATTCTATTTCTTTTTAATATCAGCTTGGGCGCTTTGTATTCAAACATTTATGGAATTAGTATGTTTATGATGTGTAAATATTAATGTGATAAATAAAGTCAGTACTATGTTTTATTGATCCTTTTCCAATATGGAAAGCACTAGCGGTCAGCTGCTGCTATGATTACCTCCTGAAATATGAGCTGTTTATTGTTGTTTGAAACAGCTATTAAAATGTTTCTTATGAGAAATGTTGA